GTTTTGATAAAAATTTGAATTATAATGGTTTGTGCTGCCATTTTATAATTAAAAAAAAGACTTATGTCAACGCTTTTAAAAAAAAATGCTTCTTAAAAAAGTGCACAATAGACAGCGCTTATAAAAAAACGCTTCCTAAAAAAGTGCTTTTAAAAAGCGCTATTTACGTGAGAAAAAGAAAGCGCTTTGTAAAAAAAGCGCTGCCTAAAGTGGATAAAAGAAAGCGCTGCCTAAAGTATAACAAAAAGATACATAAGGCAGCGCTTTCAACTAAAGGGGAAAAAAGCGCTTTCTATGAAAAAGCGCTGCCTAAAATAGAAAGAAAAGATATACTAGACAGTTTTAAAAGCGCTGCCTAAAGGGGGGAAAAAGAAAGCGCATTCCATGAAAAAGCGCTGCCTAAAGGTGACATTAGAGAGCGTTTTTGCATTTAAAAGTGGACCTAAGGAAGCACTTTTGTATTTAAAAAAAGTGATGTCTTTACCTACAACAACGTCACTAAGCGCTGCCTTAAGTACTTAATCGAAAGATAAATTGGAAGAAATTAATGAGGAATGGTGTAAATACATTCTTGAGATGAGAATTATATAAGGTATATTGTCTTTCTTTCTTTTGTGTGAAATTTACCGTCCTTAGAGATTTTTGTTGTTGTGATGTTCTGTACTGGATAGGAATAGTTCTGGAAGTCATGTTGTATAGTTTTGGAAGTTGTTGTATAGTTTTGGTAGTTGTTGTGAATTGAGGATTGATGTTTGTAATTATGTTTGGTGAATATTTTAGTAGTTAAAGGTTTTGAAAGTGGATAGAATTATGGATACTTTCTTGGTGTATGGGGTTTGTGTTGAATTATAATGGTTATAAGGTTTATGTGTTGAGCTATAGTGGTTATAAGGTTTATGTGTTGAATTATAATGGTATATATATGTTGAATTATAATGGTATATAAGGCCTATGTGTTGAAATAAAGGTTTGTGTTAAATTATAAAAGGTTTGTGATAAGTTTTGATAAAAATTTGAATTATAATGGTTTGTGCTGCCATTTTATAATTAAAAAAAAGACTTATGTCAACGCTTTTAAAAAAAAAATGCTTCTTAAAAAAGTGCACAATAGACAGCGCTTATAAAAAAACGCTTCCTAAAAAAGTGCTTTTAAAAAGCGCTATTTACGTGAGAAAAAGAAAGCGCTTTGTAAAGAAAGCGCTGCCTAAAGTGGATAAAAGAAAGCGCTGCCTAAAGTATAGCAAAAAGATACATAAGGCAGCGCTTTCAACTAAAGGGGAAAAAAGCGCTTTCTATGAAAAAGCGCTGCCTAAAATAGAAAGAAAAGATATACTAGACAGTTTTAAAAGCGCTGCCTAAAGGGGGAAAAAAGAAAGCGCATTCCATGAAAAAGCGCTGTCTAAAGGTGACATTAGAGAGCGCTTTTGCATTTAAAAGTGGACCTAAGGAAGCACTTTTGTATTTAAAAAAAGTGATGTCTTTACCTACAACAACGTCACTAAGCGCTGCCTTAAGTACTTAATCAAAAGATAAATTGGAAGAAATTAATGAGGAATGGTGTAAATACATTCTTGAGATGAGAATTATATAAGGTATATTGTCTTTCTTTCTTTTGTGTGAAATTTACCGTCCTTAGAGATTTTTGTTGTTGTGATGTTCTGTACTGGATAGGAATAGTTCTGGAAGTCATGTTGTATAGTTTTGGAAGTTGTTGTATAGTTTTGGTAGTTGTTGTGAATTGAGGATTGATGTTTGTAATTATGTTTGGTGAATATTTTAGTAGTTAAAGGTTTTGAAAGTGGATAGAATTATGGATACTTTCTTGGTGTATGGGGTTTGTGTTGAATTATAATGGTTATAAGGTTTATGTGTTGAGCTATAGTGGTTATAAGGTTTATGTGTTGAATTATAATGGTATATATATGTTGAATTATAATGGTATATAAGGCCTATGTGTTGAAATAAAGGTTTGTGTTAAATTATAAAAGGTTTGTGATAAGTTTTGATAAAAATTTGAATTATAATGGTTTGTGCTGCCATTTTATAATTAAAAAAAAGACTTATGTCAACGCTTTTAAAAAAAAACGCTTCTTAAAAAAGTGCACAATAGACAGCGCTTATAAAAAAACGCTTCCTAAAAAAGTGCTTTTAAAAAGCGCTATTTACATGGGAAAAAGAAAGCGCTTTGTAAAAAAAGCGCTGCCTAAAGTAGATAAAAGAAAGCGCTGCCTAAAGTATAACAAAAAGATACATAAGGCAGCGCTTTCAACTAAAGGGGAAAAAAGCGCTTTCTATGAAAAAGCGCTCCTAAAATAGAAAGAAAAGATATACTAGACAGTTTTAAAAGCGCTGCCTAAAGGGGGGAAAAAGAAAGCGCATTCCATGAAAAAGCGCTGCCTAAAGGTGACATTAGAGAGCGCTTTTGCATTTAAAAGTGAACCTAAGGAAGCACTTTTGTATTTAAAAAAAGTGATGTCTTTACCTACAACAACGTCACTAAGCGCTGCCTTAAGTATTTTATGGCGTAGTGTATATATATATATATATATATATATATATATATATATATATATATATATATATATATATATATATATATATATATATATATATATATATATATATATATATATATATATATATATATATATATATATATATATATATATATATATATATATATATATATATATATATATATATATATATATATATATATATATATATATATATATATATATATATATATATATATATATATATATATATATATATATATATATATATATATATATATATATATATATATATATATATATATATATATATATATATATATATATATATATATATATATATATATATATATATATATATATATATATATATATATATATATATATATATATATATATATATATATATATATATATATATATATATATATATATATATATATATATATATATATATATATATATATATATATATATATATATATATATATATATATATATATATATATATATATATATATATATATATATATATATATATATATATATATATATATATATATATATATATATATATATATATATATATATATATATATATATATATATATATATATATATATATATATATATATATATATATATATATATATATATATATATATATATATATATATATATATATATATATATATATATATATATATATATATATATATATATATATATATATATATATATATCATTGCATGTTTGGGTTTAGTTGTTAGATTTATTGCTTAAAATTTGCTTAATTCGCAGGTTTAATTTGTTCGTAGTCTTAATTTGTAAAGGCTTAGGTTTGGTTAGAGTTGACTTTCGAAATAATCTTATTGTTTATTAATCTGTAAAAATTGTAATTGGATTTTCTTTGATTGATAAATTGTTAAAGACATTAAACGTCTTGTTTGAATCTTTAACCATTAATCATTACATTGTCTATTACTTCATTACAAACTTTTGGTGTGTGTATAGTATCAATCTTCTTCCAACTATTTTAAATCGAAGTTTTCACCATATTCGTTTCTTCTTGCGTAATCTGATTTTTAAATAAAAAAACGGGAGTCTTAATTGTCTATTCAAACCCCCCTTCTAAACAAATTACTCCATATTCAAACCAACAATGTTAGGGTATAAGATTCAAGGCAGGGAAAGTTGAGCCTTTGACCTGTTAGAGAAGTTTTTACACTAGGGAGCATTGAACATTATATCAAGAGTAACACAAGTGAGAGAGACACATATTCACCCAAAACCTTAAGGTGATAGGTGTATGGGTTCTCCCACTTATAAATGCTCAAGTCATTACATTCATATCCAATGTGAGACTATTACCCATACTATTCATACTTGCTCAAATGGTAATTGTAATTAAACAATCTATATTTGATCCCAAAAATTTATATTAATTTATTCGTACAACATTTTAATAATCGTTTTCTTAATTGAATTGGTTCAAAATTAATAATATTTAATGTTAAGTTCTCAACTTTTGTGATTGCGCTAGTAAACACCATCCCTTAAATTTAAGGGACCAGCGTCATCACACTCGAATGGTAAAAGAATAAATAATGAAACTTAAAGATTAAGGAACCAATAAGTTCTTACCAATAGAGATGCTCTTAAGAAAAATCTCTAGATTAACGGTTTGAATAAAAAGATGATCTTTGATAGAACATTATGGCGAAAACTGTAATCGATCTTACTTAATGAAATAAGGCTTAGAGCATTTCAAACGGTGGGAAAAACATTCATCAATCCTTAAGTTCTGATACTTATTTTTGTATCATCGAAATGTGATGAAGTGATAACATTTTCTTAAATTTAAGGGGTGAAGCTTGTTGAAACAACTTGAAAAATGAAAAACTTAACATTAAATATTATTATTTTTTGAACAAATTCAATTGAAAAATAATTATAATAATGTAGTGCAAATAAAATAAAATATAATAAGTGAGTCATAGGTTGCGTATTTACTATTATTGTTGAAGAAAAATAATTAAAATTGCTCCCTAATTTAGAACCACAAGTAACCAAACAAATTTCTCCCTAATAAAAATTTAAAAACTAATTTTAAAAGTGGTATACATTATTGTTAGTTAGAATAGAAAAGAGAGGGGATGTTGACTTAATCAAAATATTACTAAGTGGAGAGGGGAACATAACCAAGCAAAGCCAAAATACACGGTTGTTGTACTATGTAGTTAATGACACGTCACACACACAGAACACAACACAACAAGAACAAGAACAAGTGGCCCTCCCACTTCTCCGTTACTTATCATCCCTACACTCAGATCTTCACTTTGCATTTATAAACCAAACATACCGTCTCTCTTTTCTCTCATCTCACACTCATCCTTCATCTTCAACCTCTCTTATTACATGAACCTTAAACACCATCCTATAGTTATTACCATTACCTAGCTATAACTAGGTTGTGTAAAGATGATGTACGAACAGCAACAACGGTTGCAGCAACCGGTGGAGAAGACGACATATAGGAAAGATTCGAATTCGATTGAGGAAACTGAAAGGCTTGAAATAGTTAACTTGAGTGGCATGTCTTTGGATTCTCTTCCTAACCCTTCTCTCAATTTAGCTTCCATTTGCAAGTTAGACCTATCCAACAACAATCTTCAGGTTTTTCATTACTTTTTAAATATTATGTTCGATAATACAGATATCTCTGAAAAAAGACGTATTCTTATATATATTCAAAAATAGATATTTATCTTTTAATTATTATTGATGTGACAGAATATTCCGGAATCATTGACGGCGAGATTGGTGAACACGGTGGCGTTGGACGTGCACTCAAACCAGCTCAAAGCCCTGCCAAATTCAATTGGCTGCCTCTCAAAGCTCAAGTTTCTGAATGCCTCCGGCAACCTCATCCAACGCCTCCCCAAAACCATTGAAAATTGCAAAGCCTTAGAAGATTTGAATTTAAATTTCAACAAGTTGATTCAACTCCCAGAAAACCTAGGGTTTGAGCTGATAAACCTGAAGAAACTATCAATCAACTCCAACAAACTTCTCTTCTTTCCACGCTCCATCTCCTATCTCACATCTCTGAAAGTTCTAGACGCACGTCTCAACTGTCTCAGATCTCTCCCAGCAGATCTCGAGAATCTCATCAACCTCGAAACCCTAAACCTGAGTCAGAATTTTCATTTTTTGGATTCAATTCCATACTCCATAGGACTTTTATTCTCTCTCGTTGAACTCGACATCAGCTACAACAAGATCAAGTCCTTGCCAGACTCCATCGGTGGTCTCAGAAAGCTTCAAATGCTGAGTGTGGAAGGGAACCCTCTGGTTTCACCACCGCCGGAAGTCGTGGAGCTTGGATTGCATGCAATGAAGGAGTATCTCGGGAACAAGATGAACGCTGGCCATCAGAGTCCGACTAAGAGTCCTACTAAGAAGAAGTCGTGGGTTGGACGTTTGGTTAAGTATGGAACCTTCAGTGCCAGAAATGGACCACGTGAAGAACGTGAAGCTTTCATCGTCTCTGAGGATGATAAATCTATGGAAACTCTTGCTTCTTCTCGCTATACGGGGATGTTTTCGCCGCGTCGTCTTTTCTCCGGTCGTAATTACTTTAGCCATTGAAGGGCAAATTTGTGTTTTTTTGAGATCATTGCTAGGTTGCACTTTTTTGATCGGGAAATAAACTGTTATATCTCGTTGAAAATGATGAAATATAAATGTTTGCTTCAATTGTGTGGAATGTGAGAAATATGACACCACTAGTGACATGTTAAAAACATTCAATATTAATATCAGAAATATATATTAAAAAAAATATTTATTTAAATAATTAAGTGATTTTGTGACCGTTACCACAATATTATTTTTACATAAAATTCTTAATATGCATGATAATAGAAGTGGAAACCGATGTAGGTATTATGGTTTTAGTGTTTGATATGTTTAATATATGTTACTATTTTGCAATGTCCTTCCAATGTTTTAATGGTGTTAATATTTTACATAATCAATATATCACAATTATTTATAAGTGATTAAAAAAATCAAATATTTACAAAAATTTAATAGCTATAGTTTATTGATAATATAAAATTAGTATTTCAATTAAATTCTAATATTATTCAGCATTATTACAATGAATATATCTATAGAAAGCACCATAGTCAAAATAGATCGAAACATGAATTTTTTTTACTAGCCTATTCCAAAAATATTACCAATTAAATTAAAGTTTCAAAAAAAAAATATATCAAAGTAGTACTTCGTCAACAAACATTTGTCAAATGAATTGACTAAAGAGGCAAAACACTGAAAATGCCATGTAACAAAGTCGTCAGACCAAACGGCAAAACAGGCAAAATGAATTTGGGCCGTAACAAAGTCGCCCATCCATTTGGCGACATACGCAATTTTCAATTAGGGTATTTTTTTATATTTTAAAATTTGATTATGTTTTTAATTTCAATTAATGTTTTAATGTATTTAAGATTATTAAGTTTTTTATATTTTTAATTATTAATATTTTTTAAACATAATTATTAATAATAAATTTAAAATAATTAGGTTTAATGATAAAATTGATTTTTTAATTAATAAACTTAAAATAATTAGGTTTAATGTTAAAATTAATTTTTTAATAATTTAAAATAATTAGGTTTAAATAAAAATAATCTCAAATTAATTAAATAAATTTATGTTGATCTAAAACTTGAGTGTTCATTGAAGTTTAGATTTTAAACCTAATTAAATAAATTTATATTGATCTTAAATTAATTTTTAATTTTAAAACATAAAAATTGAGTGTTCATTGAAGTTTAAATAATGTAAATTTTGTAAGGGTGTTTAAGTCATATCATATGGGGTACGTATTATTTTTTTTACTATAAATACGACTGCAAACACATGTATGTTTTCACAACATTGTATCCCAAAAGACTGAAGATTTAGTGCATTTTGAGTTAAGTGGAGCCTATAATGTCGGCATTTCTAAATCAACGTTCTTCGTCGTCGTTGTCATCAGCATCAGAGAAATCCTTTCCAACGTTCGATCTAATGAAAAGAAATGTTGTAGTTGTGTTTTCAGCAACAAAGCCTCCGATGAAGGTACTCCTTTGAAATACGAAGACGTTGGAGCACTTGCATAGGGAACTGAACCGCTGGTTAGAAGGAGATACTGCTCCAGGAGAAAAGATTAGGAAAATTGAGAGGTTGGTCGAGGAGACCAGAAGAAACAGAGCTACTCGTGAATGGAGAAAAGTGGAAAATGATGTCGGTGTCCTTGTGATGATGTTGACACCAAAGAAGATAAAGTTGATGGTCGTGATATCGTAGACGCCTTGGTGCAGTGTTTTGTTTTATGTGTTTACGTTGTTGTTATGTTTGTTTAATTTATGTTGCCTTGGTGCAGTTGTTTGTCTTTATGTTGTTGTTATGCCAGTTAACTATGCTTTTAAATGAATGAAATTTGTTATTAATCGAATGAAATTTGCTATTTATCGAATGAATTTTGCTATTGATTTAAAGGGAAAAGATTACATATGAAACTATGATCTGCTACTTAATCCTAGTTTGGACATTTTGTACGATTGTGTCCTGGTTGCCGACACAAACTACACAATCTCACCAGCTTGTCTGCGGTATCCATTTCCGTTCGAATGCGCGTGCTGTTAGGCTGACCCTTTTTCTTTCTGCGCATCAAGTCATTATGTCAAACAATTTTGCCGCCTTCATATTCAGGCCAATAGTCCTCCTTTCCCACCACCTGAAAGTTGCATGTGTAGACATTGTATAGACCTATCACTTGGTGAACTGCAGAAAGAAGTTTGGTTGGGTCCTGGCACGCCTTTGAACATGCTGCTATGACATGAGAGCAAGGCATACAGAATGCTTGAAACTTTCCACAATCGCACCAGCTCTTTGTTACGGAAAAATCAAAACCCTAATTAGAAATTGCCTATGTCGCCGAATGGATGGGCGACTTTGTTACGGCCCAAATTCATTTTGCCTGTTTCGCCAATCTGTCTGGCGACTTTGTTACATGGCATTTTCAGTGTTTTGCCTCTTTCGCCAATTCATTTGGCGAATGTCTGTTGAAGAAGTGCTACTTTGGTATTTTTTTTTGAAACTCTAATTTAATTGATAATATTTTTGGAATACATGGCTAGTTAAAAAAAAATTCTCGAAACAGATCTTCAAAATATATTGATAGATGTTTCTAAAAGTACCGAGATATAAAAAGGATATTATATAATAGCACTTTTTTAATTGTTGTATGCTTTTTTTTTTTTTACATATAAGAAGTCGTTGTTTTATTGAAGTTGTATTCAAAAAATATATATGAAAAATTAATATCCTTTGAATTAATAGGAGAATTTTTCCGTATATAAATATTACTTTTGTTTTAAAATTGTTTATAAAAATATTTAGATCAATAATAAAATTTTATCAACAATACACTTTCTTAGTTTATAAAAATATACAAGTCAGTTGTTCAGTGCTCGTGGATACTTAAAGTCATTTTCAAACATAGAGACCATCTTATGAACTCTAATGTTTAGAACTCCTTTACAACTGATGGTAAGTATAGCACTAAGCAGATGTATTAGATGCTATCGAGGGATAAGCCAAAAGTAACATGGAGAAAATTGTTCGTTGAAAATCTGGCTAGGCCTCGAGCAGTATTCATTTTATGGTTGACTTGTCAGGGTAGGTTACCCACTAAAGAAAAATTAAGTAAATTTGGCACTCTAACTGATGGCCTTTGTATATATTGTGGGTTACATGAAAGTTGCAGCCATTTGTTCTTTGAGTGTACTGTGGCCAAGAACATTTGGAAACAAGTTCTGAACTGGATGGATATGCATCATAATTCTGATGGTTGGACCCAGGAGCTTTGTTGGATAAGCCAAACAACGTGTGAAAAATGGTGCAAAGTGAAGTTGATGAAGATGGTGCTAACTGAAATGATTTACAAAATCTGGAAACCAAGGTCGTGTTTCAGGAAACCAACAAGGAGACGTTATGTAGTAAAGATATCATTAATATGGTATTGGTGCGTGTTGAGATAGATAAGAAACTTGCAATGTTTTGTAATAGAAGCTAAGGTGTTTTTTTGTCCTCTTGTCTGCTTAGTCATTTTGTCGACTGGAGCCTGGATTTTCGGATCGACTTGGTTGTAATAAGTTTTTTGGTAATACAATATTTCTCTGTTCCATAAAACTTCTCTGTCCTAAAACTTCTCTTTCACCTATTCATGTCGTTTTTGAATTTTGGTTTTGTTAATGACAAATAAATGTATAATAAAAGAGAAGGCAAAAGCACAAGGTACAAGGTGAAGCTAGTGACAAGCACAAGAAGTTCACCAAGAGCTCACCAAAGAACAAAATCAAGAGAAATATACATAACAGACAAATAAGGCCCAACACTACTACGAAGAACATATACAACAACGGTTGGAAAATGGATAACATCATGCGTGACCTGTCGTTGTTACGTAGAGTGTGGTTGTATATGCGCTACTTAAAATCACGGTCTTATGACCGTTGTAGAAAACCTAAAAGCGCGCGATATATTATCACAATTGATAACCAAACCGTTGTCATATACTAAAGGTCACAAGTTCGATTCTCAACGCATTTTAAGTATATAACCACAACCTTCTATAAAAACCGTGGTCATATTATATATTATAACTATACAACCACAGTCTTATATATATATATATATATATATATATATATATATATATATATATATATATATATATATATATATATATATATATATATATATATATATATATATATATATATATATATATATATATATATATATATATATATATATATATATATATATATATATATATATATATATATATATATATATATATATATTACAGATGAATATCATGTTTGAGAAGTTCTAAGTGCATTGAACATATACGCCCAACATTTACAAATCTCTACAAAGTCTTCACATGAGAATGGTATTTCGTCGTTAAAAGTCAGCATAAAATGTACTAGATTAAGCTCATTATTGAGGACTCATAAGTGCATTGTAAGCAATTCATTACATATATAATATATACCTGATCCCATTATTCAACAATGTCGGCGAAGACAATGTTTAACATGTGTTTCATTATATAATAACCACACTCGAATCCATTTGGTTGTTTCCTCGTATACAAAAATGAACATTAATTTCATGAATGTTATAAATACGCATGCATGTGACAATATATATAAATGAAAGTCACAAGTAATATAGCCATTTACATTCGGCAAGATAAATGTTGGCTTTTTTCTAATATTGTTCAACATATTGTGTCGCTGCACAACACTGTATATTAAAAATAATTTATGGGTTAAACCATTTAAACCGATTACAAAGTCAAAGAAAATATGTATTACTAAAATTTTTCATATAAACATAAACTTACCCATTAATAATTTGCTTCATTTTATGTTCGAGTGATTTATGTAAGGAACATAATATCGTTATCGTATTCGTCTTAAGCGATATGATGATCAATTGCTAATGATTACTGAATAAACATGAGCATATATATATATATATATATATATATATATATATATATATATATATATATATATATA